GCTCTGACAGCCTGGAGGTTCTCTTATCTGGTCTCCAAGGTCCAGCTGCACTGAAGCACGAGGGCCCCACGAAGGCCACTACCCGGATCGTGTACGCTGGGCGGCCGTCAGGGCGCTGCCCTCTAAGAAATGCCCAGAGCTTGGGCACTGGTGGTGGAGGCACTTAGCTCCATAGCTTTCTGAGGAGGTCTAGAAACCCTTGGGGCCTTGGGAAATAAGCAGCCCAGGCCCCCAGGCCCCGTCTCCCACGTTTTCTCTCTTCTCAGTTATAGTAATTAAGTCAATCAATTACTACTGCTACTGTTTTCATAAATGTCTGTAATAAAAAACCCTGTACTTTGAAGGTAAGTGTCTTAGTTACCTAGAGCTGCTGTAACAGAAACGCCACACGTAAGTGACTTTAACAAACAGAAATTTATTTCCTCACAGTGTAGGAGGCTGGAAGTCCAAATTCAGCACTGGCTCTCAGGGAAGTCTCTTTCTCTCTGTCGGCTCTGGCGGAAGGTCGTTGTCTCTTCAGCATCTGTTCCTCGGTTCCTTGGCGATTATGCCACACTTACCTTCCCCTTCAGTTTGTGCCCACTTAATCTGCTCTTTTTATCTCAAAAGAGACTGACTTAAGACACGCCCTACACGAATACTGCCTCATTAACATAACAAAGAAAACTCATTCCCAGATGGAACTATAACCACAGATATACCCGCCCAACCGACCTTTGCTGATTCTCATAGCAACCCTATAGGACAGGGTAGAACTGCCCCATAGGGTTTCCAAAGTCTGTAATCTTTACGGAAGCAGAGTGCCACATCTTTCTTCTGAGGAGCAGCTGGTAGGTTTGAACCACCAACCTTCCGATTAGCAGCTGAGCACTTTAACTACTGCGCAACGAGGGCTCCTTAACCACAGGTATGGGGTTAGTATTTACAACACATGTTTTTGGGGGACACAATTCAGTCCATAGCAGTAAGATTTCCCCAAGAAAAGAAAACATACCAAGCCTCTTCCTCAGCTTGGGGGCAGGGGAGTTGACGAAGAGAATTAATCTGACTGACAGGTAGAGAAACTGAGGCGCAGAAGACTTTCCTGAGTCAGTGGACAAGCCAGGAGTCCAGGCCGCAGGTCCCCTTCTTCCCAGGTGGGATACCTGATGGAACAACCAACCCTCAGACTGGCCGGTCAGCCTCAGGCTCCTCCCCTGCAGCCCCCAACCCCAGCCTGGGAGAGCAGGTGGGACTCAGGGTTGGTCCTGGGCACTGGGAGATGCAACTGCTTTTGAATGGAACTCTTGGAGGGGGCAGGCCAAGCTGGCTGTTTGTAGGCCGCTCAGAGCAGGGTGCCCTTGGGGCAGCCTTGAAGGGCGTAGGGCTGGCAGGCAGCAGGGCTGGAGGGCTTCTGGAAGAGGCAAAGTATGGGGTAAAGAATTTAACTTTACCCAAAGTAATTTCCCCTATGCGTCTGCCAGTTTGCCATACTGTGGGGGCTTGTGTGTTG